TCCACTTGGTTTCTTTTTGAAGTAGGAGTTTGTCTCTATTAGGGTTTTCAGGAACATGTCCAAGAACAGAAAAAGAGATTTTAGTCGAATCAAAATTGTGTTTGAGGCCTATATGGCGAGAAACAGGGGTGGTTAGCTTGCCATTGTTGATGAGGTAGATGTGATCGTTGATGCGTTTCTTAAAGGGTCTAAGAGTTTTGCCTACATAAAAGGCCTTACATACACATCGCATTAGGTATATTACCCCTGTGGTTTCGCAGGTATAGTGTCCATTGGTGGTCCATGGTTGTCCATTAGGAAGTATAATAGTTTTGTCCATGCAGATCCATGGACATTGAGAGCATTTACCACATGGGTAAAGCCCTTTATCCCTATTTAGGGGAGTTATTATTGAAGTATCTATAAAGTGACTTTGGGTTAGTTTATCCCGCAGAGATTTCGATCTACGGAAAACTAACTCGGGTTGTTGTCCAATGTATCTTCTAATGGTACGGTCTGAGGTCAAAATTGGCCAATGATCAGTTATTATTTTCCGTATCTGTGAGTGTTGTTTATTGTAAGTTACAATGAGCCTAGTAGGGGGATTTTGAGAGTTCAAACTATCTCTCTTATTGTAAAGGAGGTCACTTCTTTCAAGTTGGTTCGCTCTTTGAAATGCTTTTTTTAAAAGAGATTTAGTGTAACCTCTTGAGATCAACCGTTCTTTAAGTAAGGAGGCTTCATGCAGGAAGTCAGATTGTAGGGTGCAGTTTCTTTTGAGTCTCAAGTATTGCCCATACGGGATACTCTTGACCAGGGATGAAGGATGTGCACTATTTGAGTGTAAAATGGTATTACCTGCTGTAGGCTTCCTATAAAGAGTGGTTTCAACAGTCAAACTCTCGGAAATGGAGATCTTAGTGTCAAGAAAGGTAATTACTTTGGGATCGCACTGCATGGTAAATTTTAAATTATATTCATTATCAGACAATAATGTCATGAATAATAGAAGTTCTTGACGTGTTCCCGTCCAGAGGATCAGGATATCGTCAATATACCTCAGCCATAACAATACATGGCTGAGGTTTGAGACGAAGGTGTCATCCGTCATCACATATCTTTCCCATCCCCCCAGGTACAGGTTGGCATAAGAGGGGGCACACCGTGTCCCCATAGCCACCCCCTGCACCTGGAGGTAGTGGGAACCGTCGAACAAGAAGGTATTGGTGGTGAGGATGTGTTTGAGGAGGTGTATTACGAAGACTGAGTATTCACTTTGGGAGTTAGGTCTCTCGAGTAAGAATTGTTCGATGATCTTAAGTCCTTTCTCATGTGGTATTGAGCTATATAGAGCTTCCACGTCGATTGCTACCAGTAAAGTATCACTAGGTACATTTAACTCATTTATAAGCTGTAAGAGATGGATTGTATCTTTGACGTAGGAAGGTAAAGCCTGGACATGGGGGCGCAGGAAGTCATCTACAAGCTTACTCGCGTTCTCTGTCACGCAGGACATGCCCGAAATAATCGGGGGCCTGGAGGATCATTGATATTCTTGTGTGTTTTTGTTAAAGCGTAAAATGTTGGCACACATGGGTGTTTAATGTCCAGGAATTCGAACGTCTCCTTCGAGATCAGTGCATTTGATAGAGCGTCATGTAGAATAGATTTCAATTGTTTGTTAAATACGTCTATACTTTTTATGTCGATTTTTTCATACCAATTCGTATTACTCAGGATTCGCAAACACATCAGTTTGTTTTTGTCCTTATCCATAACCACCACATTCCCTCCCTTGTCCGACGGTTTGATAACGATGTCTTGACATCTTTTTAGGTTATTCAGTGCTTTGTACTGATGTTTAGTAAAGTTTTTTAGCTTTGGGGTTGGATATAGTTTCTCCCTGATGTCTCTGGTGACATTCTGCGTGAAGGCCCAAACACTGGAATTAGATTGGAGGTGTGGAAATTTAACAGATTTTGATTTATAAATATTCGGTAGGGAGAACAATTGATCAAGTTTAGTATTAGGGTCATTCACAGAGCCGTCAGACAGGTCATCAGCGAGAGACTTAGCATCAACCTCATCATTCTCATCGAGAAGTGAGATAAGATCTTTTAGGGCTCGGAAATCAGCTATTTTATAGTCCTTCCAATGTTGGGGTTTAGGGGATACCTCAAGATGTTTATGAGGATCATTATCAAAAATTACATTATATATTAGCTTCCGAGCAAAGAGATGTATATCCTTTACAAGCTCAAACTCATCGTAGTTTTGATCTGGGCAAAAACTCAGGCCTAACTTGAGGACAGAAAATTCTGCCTCAGAGAGGGGATAAGCCGATAAGTTTATTATCTGGAGGTTTTCTTCTCCCCCTGAGTTTTTACTAAAAAAGACTCAATATTCCCGGGCAGGCTTAAGGTAGGCGATACAGCAGTTGTGGTACCATTATGTTTCGGTCTGGCTCCTTGATTTCTACGATTAGAATTAGGAGATATATCAGAAAGTCCTGTCTCCTTTGTCGAAGTATTAGAGACTGAGCTAAAGGAGTTGGTGTTGTGCGGTAGATCTGATAAACGTGTATCCGATCTAGTCCTAAAGGGATACGGGTCATTGTATAGAGAAGAATTCTCGCCAGTACTGAAATCCCCACTAGTGGCATCCTGTTTCCTCTTCATTTGTGATCCATATTGATGGTTATTAGTTCTTTTATTTTTCCTATGGCTAGGGAAATTATCACCTGCCATAGGTGGAAAGGAGGAAGAGTAGGATCTACGACTAATAAGGGAAGAGGCGTGGGAAGACACTGATTCAAGGTCTGTGTCACGATCGCTATTTTTCTGGGATCTAGGTACATATGCCCTCATCCTACTTTGTCTTTCACCATTCCATCTATAGGCTCGTCCTGCTGCGTATGCCGCATTATCTTTAAGAAATTTTTGATCTTTGTTTAATAATAATTTCTTTGTAAAGGTTACTATGTGTTCTTTAATGTCTGTTTCCTGTTCTTTAAATGGTAGGGATTCACAGATAGTTTCGTGATTCTGATATAGATCATTTATAGCTTTATCAATTATAGCAGATTCAGAGCGGTAGTGCTCTATTAGAAGTGAAATCATGTTCAGGGAGCATTGTTGTAAATTGAGTTCCCATTTATTTTTTAATTTTTCATCAATTTTTGCCACCGTAGGAAAAATTTGAACTCTCAGTCCCCATGGGACAATATTTTCAGTCATATATCTTTCAAAATATTTAATGTGCCAGTAAATAATAGATTTTTTCTCCAGAAGCCTTTTAAATTTAATGGTTAATGTGTCAATTTCAAATTTGGCTGATGTTTGGGAAGGGGAATCAGATTGGATTTTGGACATGAAGTCATTCCAGGCATTTCCACTAAAGCTCGCCATGTTACTGCTTGATAGCTCTTGAGTATTAATGGTCTATTAGTACACCTTAATGTTTGCACTCACAAAAACAGATCAAAAAGGAAGTTTATATCAAAAAACGCATTCTATTGAAGCATAAGTAATAAATCACATATTATTAGCAAGATACGTCTGCCAGCACACAAGATGGGGGTGTTTTCCCCCTGGGTTTAGTTAAGGGATAATATTGGCAGGCGTATGTTGCAAATAGCGTCTAGAAGAGCTGGAGGTTTCACACCCCAGGTTATGAATACAAAGGAACAGATTGTTTCCGCAGTGGGCTGTGCAAGGACCCAGTGGGGAGAAAAAAGGGGGCTTTTTAGAAACCAGTCCAGACCTCGTATATAAAAGTCTTAGAAAAACATTTATTCACTAAATTGTTGTATACATAATTTAGAACCAAAAAATAAAGTACAAAATCATGTCATCAATAAAAATATATATCATTAATAAAAATACATATTGAATATGCAGGTTCACCATCATCTGAAAATAAGTTACCGCATATCTCGTAACCGCACGGTATTGTCACCTAACGGTGAACCTGCATATTCAATATGTATTTTTATTAATGATATATATTTTTATTGATGACATGATTTTGTACTTTATTTTTTGGTTCTAAATTATGTATACAACAATTTAGTGAATAAATGTTTTTCTAAGACTTTTATATACGAGGTCTGGACCGGTTTCTAAAAAGCCCCCTCTTTTCTCCCCACTGGGTCCTTGCACAGCCCACTGCGGAAACAATCTGTTCCTTTGTATAAGTGTAAAAAGTAAAATAAAAAATTTTGAGCAACAGTATACAAATAACAATTCAATGCACAAAAAAAGGAGAAAAAAACCAAGGCAAATGAAAGGAATACAAATTCAAACAAACTGAACTACCCTTAAAATACCCCCCTTAAAAAAAATGACTTTACACCAGAATGCATTCGTAAAGACAATCATGAAGGTGCACATCACCAAGATCTTTTATTTGACCTGTACTCTGTTGCTTTTCTCTTCAAGTTTGACTGCAATATAACTTTTATAATAAAAGCTAGATATGTATTATATGGCAGTGAGAACTATGAACACATATTAACTTTTACAAATCTTTCTGTTTACTTAGAAACAGTCCATGGGAAAACACAATCTTGGGTAAAAAATATAGAGAAAATGCATTAAAAGAAAAGTTACATTCAAACTTCATTGGAGATTCAGTGCAGCATAGTGTTGGTAAGTGCAATGCCGATGACATTTTTATAATGCTTGATCTATATTAAATTTATGACATTTTTACTGTTGTAGCAACCACCATAAATAAAATATTAGTAGACACGGAGCTTCTCAAAAGCAAGTTTTGATTTGTACCCATAGAAAACTGTCGATTAAACTTGCAAGGAAACCTGATGTAAAATACTGCCTACAGATTTGAACACGGCCCAGTGAAAATTAAGCGGATAACACAACAGACTTTATGAACATGGATGTAAATATAACACATTTTCAATATTATATTCAGAAGAGCAGCAGACTCATAACCATTTAAGAAAATAAGATATATTCTCTAAATCCGTTACATGTTATGAATATTAAAGTATTTACAGTGGAAAAGGCTTTAAAGGGGTCATCTGTAGTGACCCCAATAAAGTTATATTAATGAACGGCCCCTTTTAGTCTTTCTAGTGGGGCTTTGTAGCTGCACCCAAACACTCACCAACCCACAACAGAGACCAGCAATTTCCAGTTGTTGACCTTTAAGCTGTGACCAACAATTGACTAAGTAGAACTCTTGTTCAGCTTTAGCTTCCTTCCCCAGGCAGCATGTTTGAGAAGCTAGGGCCCCTGGACTCACACCCTCCCCAGGCAGCAGGCCTGCGAGGCAAAAATTGGACCATTCATACACATATCGTCCCCAGGCAAAAGGTTAGGGGCCAGGACAGGACTTAAGCTGCTAGGGACAATAGGAACTCCAGGTTGCATATCGGTCTTTACAGGAATCCTCCTAAGTGTAGGACAGCTTTTTGTTTTTTTTTCATTGACACCAACCACTGTAGTTGCAGGCCTTGACTGTGGCCATTAAAGGCCCCAGCATACACTAGTCCAGTTATGGCGAACCTTTTTGAACCCGAGTGCCCAAACTGCGACGCAAAATCAATTTAATTATCTCAAAGTGCCAGCGCTGAAAATAAGTTTGGTATTGCAGTTTGGGCGCTCGGGTTTAAGAAACGTTCAACATCACTGCCTAACGGCCTTTGGGCAGGGGGGGGTGACGCCCGCGGGCCCCTTAGCTGGTGGTATTCAGCAGTGCTGTATAATCATTATACAGCACTGCTGAATACCACCCAGCTACAGTCCCCCAATCCCCCCAAGCCAGCTATCACCCACAGACTCCCCACCCTTACCTACATCCAGGCTGCAGCACCTCTCCTTGGCGGCCAGTGGAGGGGTCACAGGAGAGCGTCCTCACTCATGCTGACCCACATACCAGGATGTCGCTGTGGCTTTGGCTGCCTGCAGAGACGGATATCAGCTCCGCCTCCACCAGGCTAACGGTGCCCATACACCTAACGACCATCGCAAGACTTTTGTCTTGCGATGGTCGTATGCTTATTGAAAGCTCATACGATCTGCCCACCTTGGACGGGCAGATCGTACTTGTGATCATCGAAAGCCCGCCCGGACAGCTGTCAGTACACACTGCGGGACGGGTGGCTGCGGCAGAACTTGGATGGAGAGTCGGGACACTAATCTGGGGGGGGAAATTGCCCCGTTGCCCCCCCCCCCTCTGGAT